CTTCCACCTTTAAAAGCATGATAGCGTGGATTAGTGAAGCAACTCAGGTAAAAGAGTAGTGAAGCAACCTGGACGTGAGGCCTTCTTTGCAAGAAGATATTTACAGATACTCAATTTATTCAATAGATATAAGGCGATTGGGATTTTGTTGTTGTTGTTCTTTAAGAGGCAGTGATGGTACACTGTGTCTTAAGAATTTGTCCATTTTGAACTAAGGTGTGATGTATATGGTCTAAAGTTCTTCATAATATTCCCTTACTATCGTTTTATAAATATATATGGCATCAGTACTTTTTTACTGCTGATATTGACATTTTATATTTTCTCTATTTGTTCAATAGTTAATCTAGGTTTTACCAATCCTATTTGTCTTTTCAAAGAACTAACTTTTGGTTCTGTTCATTTTTTTTTCACTATGGTATTGCTATTTCCTTAATTTCCATTCTTATTTCTAGATATTTAGGGACTATTTTGCTATTCCTTTTAGCTTTTGGTGGAAGCTTAAGTCACTGATTTTAAAACTTCCATCTTTTCTAATATAAGCAAAATGCTTTAGTGGTTGTTGTTATGTGCTGTCGAATTACTTGCGACTCATAGTGACCCTATCTATGTACAGGATCCCTAAACCCTGCTCTAGACTGTGTCAACCTTATTGTCTCTGACACAACTAACTCCCCCATTACTCCAATCACTGAATCGATCCATCTCATCAAGGGTTGTCTTCTCTTGCGCTCTCTCTCCACCTTTCCAAACATGACGTCCCTCTCTAAGGACTGGTCCCTCCTTGTAACATGTCCAAAGTATGTCAGATGAAGCTTCAGAATCCTTGCCTCCAAGGAGTAGCCTGGCTTCACCCTCTTCAGGACAAACCTGTTTGTTCACCTAGCAGTCCATGGTATATTCAACACCATTCTCCAGCACCACAGATCAAAGGCATTCTCTTTCTATCATCCCTAATCACTGTCCAGCTCTCTGATGCATAGCAAGCAACTGCAAAGACTATGGTCTCTATCAGGCGAATCTTAATCTCCAGACTGACTTTGTTGCTTTTCAGTACTCTGGAGAGGTTCCTAACAGCTGACTTTCTCAGTGCAATTCCTCTCTTGATTTCCTGGCTGTTGGTAACAAAAGTGTAGATTGTGGAGCCAAGTAAATTAAAACTGTTAACAATCTCAATCTCTTCACCATCCACAATGATGCAGCCAATTGGCCCAGTGGTGAGAATCTTTGTATTCTTGATTTTGAGCTTCAATCCATATTTGAGACTCTAGTCCTTGACCTTCTGCAGCAAGCGCTTCAGGTTCTCTCAGTTTCAGCAAGCAGGGTTGTGTAATCTGCATAATGCAATGTTGTTGATGAATTTTCCTCCAATCTTGATGCCACACTTCTCCTCATAGAGCCCAGTGTCCTAGATAATCTGTTCTGCATCTAGACTGAAAAGGTATGGAGATAGGACAGATGCCTGGAGGACCCCCTTCCTGATTTTGAACCACTGCAGTGTCTTCTTCCTTTGTTCTGACAACTGCTTCTTGGTCCAAGTATAGGTTTCTCACAAGCACAATCAAGTCTTCTGGGATTTCCATTCTTCTCAAAGTCAGCCATGGTTTATTGTGATTCACACAGTCAAAAGTCTTTGCATAGTCAATGAAACACAGATAGACATTCCTCTGGTACTCTCTGCTTTCCATCAAGATCCATCTAACATTAGCTATACTATCCCTAGTAAAACGGCAAACATTTTGTAGTTTTTGCTATGTGCCGTCGAGTCGCTTGCGACTCATCGCAACCCTATGTACAACAGTCCTAAACCCTGCTCTATCCTGTGCCAATCGCACTGTCTCCGACAAACCCATCCCTATTACCCCAGTCACTGAATCAGTCCACCTCATAGAGGGTCTTCCCCTCCTACGCCGTCCCTCCACCCTCCCAAGCATGATGTCTCTCTCCAAGGACCTGTCCCTCCTTACAACATGTCCAAAGTATGTCAGACGAAGCCCCAGAATCCTTGCCTCCAAGGAGCAGCCTGGTTTAACCCTCTCCAGGACGAATCTGTTTGTTTTCTTGGCAGTCCATGGTATATTCAATACTCTTCTCCAGCATCACAGCTCAAAGGCATCAATTCTCCTTCTATCCTCCTCTGATCCAACTCTCTGATGCATAACAAGTGATTGCAAAGACCATAGCCTGTATCAGACACACCTTAGTCTCCAGAGAGACACCCCTGCTCTTGAGTACTTTAGAGACATCCCTAACACCAGACTTTCCCATCGCAATACGTTTTTTTATTTCCTGGCTGCTGGTGCCGAGTGTTGACCATTACGTTATGTTTTATCATTCTGTTCAAATTATTTTCTCATTCTTTCATATCTGTCTTTGGATTTATGAAGTTGTTTAGAATGTTATTATTAATTTTCAATTGAGAATTTTCCACCTATTTTTTCACATTTATTGCTGGACATTTTATAGCCCAGCCCATTATAATGATGTTCTATCTTAAGGAACATTTTACACTTTAAAAGAATCTATGAATGGCATTGTTTTGAATACAGTATTCTGAAATATCCATTAGATTATTGAATATGTGTTCAAAGCTACTATTGCTGCTTTTTTTAAAAGATAAAAACAAACACCACCATGTTTAATTGCTTGTTTCATTACTGACAATGGAGTATTAAAATTCTCAGGCACAACGGTGAATCTGTTTCCTTTCTCTTCAGTGAAATTTTGCTCCATGTTATTTTGAAGCTGTGCTATTTGACACACACATATTTAGGGATATTTAATCTTAATGAAATAGCCCTTTATCATTATGAAATGTTCTTCTTAATTCCTTGTATCGATATCTACTTTGATATGAATATAAAAGTTTTGATATTTTGATATAAATACAAATAGTCTGATCCACTTTCTTAACAGAGATAATGTTTCCATGGCCTACCTTTTCTATTTACTTTTAATCAGCCTGTATCTTTATATTTAAAATGTATCTCATATAAACATCATCTAGCTTGGTCTCACTTTTTCTTAGTCTACTATGAAAATCTCTGCCTTTTAATGGTGAGTCTTCAGTCCATTTTTATTTAGTTATTTGACAGGGTTGTTTTTAGGTCTCCCATCTTGCTAATTGTTTTCTATGGTGTTTCATCTAGTCTTTATGTTTTTTATTCCTTTTCTCTGCCTTCTTGTAAGTTCCACTGAATATCGCCAGTATTCCATGTTCATCTTTCTTACTATGTCTGAAGGAGAAAAATGGGCAGCCTCCTCCAGTATGAGTTACTGCCTCTTAAAACACACTGGAGGGTCATCTATGGGTTGGTTCTGACTTGAAAGTATATAACAACACTGACTATTTAAGTGGCATTTTTTTTTATGACTGCTCTAGGAGTTACAAGTTCAGCTCTGGTGGTCTAGTGGCAAGAAGCTGGTTTGAGGCCACCAGCTACTCTGTGGGAGAAGGTTGAGTCCTCTCCTCCTGTGCAATTAACTGCCTCTGAAAACCCACTGGAGGGTTGGCCGTGGGTCGGTTCTGACTCTATGGTACACAGCACCAACAGGGGTTACAGAGTACAGCCTCATCATAATATAAATGTATTAGAGCCACACACATAAGATCATTACAGATCAATATGTTCCATACTCCTACCTCTTTTTGTGATATATTTTCCTGTTATAAACTCTATCTTATCTTTCAAAAAAATTTAATAAATGAAAACAGTCTTATGTTAGCTGAAGCACTTGAGATTTGAGCTAACTGTGCAACTATGCCCAACACATGACTATTCACACAGATAGACAGACTGTGTCTCAAACAATAAGCCATTTTCAAGTCTTCAAAGATGTTAGCACTTTTGCTTTGCTGGGGGCTTCCCACATATTCTCTCCTTCTAATACTTGCCACACCCCTCCCACCTCCTGGTTCCAATTTTTCTTTCAGAATTCATTTCAATAGATTTCTTCTGTGTTTCCATTACAACTTGTACTTTCCCCAATCAAAGGCATTACTAAATTTTATTATAGTCTCTTATTTAGTATGAACCGACCTTGCCTGATTACCTAAATATCAGCTACCTACTATTACACGATTTGTGAAAGGGCCAATTAAAGAATTAGATTAGAAAAAATTCTGGATAAACCTGTTTTTATGATACCCAGGGGGAATGTACTTGGGGTTCTGGTGCGATCTGGAAGCCATCTACATAAAACTTTGGGTGTCCTAAGCCGCCCTCTAATGCTGTCTTTCACACTGGGCAGACTTTCATCTTTTTTGGGGCAGGCTTTCTCATACTTTTCACTGCTCCCCAGTCTTTTATTTTTAATTTTTTTTTTTTTGCTCCCCAGTCTTAACTACCTATACTCAATGTCTTTGTTCATGATAGTTAATCATTACAGCCATCACAAGCTGCCTATTTCAAAGAAAAATATTTTGTTGGATTCTCATTAAGCATATTCTCTGACAAATACAAAACCCTCTCAATGAACTGTAAAGTCTTTCACAAGTCTTTGCAAGGTTAGAGAAGACCAATGCAAAGTTTCATTTTCATAATGTGTCTATGAGCTTAAGAATTAAATTATACAGCTCTTCTAATCATAACAGGTTAGGAAGAGACTTCCAACTAAACATTCTATGGTGTCCTTTTAATTGTTGTTATATACTGTTCAGCCAATTTTTAACTCAGTGATTCTCTGAGATAGAATAGAACCTCTCTAGCAAGAAAAGAATGGGAGGGTGAGATAAACAGAAAAACTCATCAAAAGGAGGGAAAAATTACTATCTGCAAAGAAACATGTCTAAATTTATAGTTTTTTCCCCCCTCCAAAATGTAGACTTAGTGAAAATTCCTAATATTTTGTTATTTGTATATTTTCCTTTTGAGCCTTTGTTAAGGAAATGCTTTAACTCTAGCATGAAAAGCTATTTATAATTTATATAACCCCATTAAGAGACCTACAAACATAAAGAGAATAGGCTGAATAACTGAAATAATAAAGCCACTTCTTACCATTGATGTCACCACCAATGCTGGGGAAAATCCCATTGTGAGATAGAAAAAGAGTTCAACCACTTTATACCTGCAGGTACAGAAAGGGAATGAATATTTCTGTAACACTAGGACAATCTCTACACCAGTTTTTTACTTTAGAAAAAAACAAATAAGCTCCTAACTACCAAAATGAAATACATTTTGCCCAGTAGGAGACCTTTCGGCTTCCAACTAAAATAGCATAATTGTGCTAATCATGCTCAGTAATTATTAGATAGACTACCTAGACACTATTTTCTGCCAAAAGTAGTTATCATGAAATACAATCTGTTTTTCATTTCTCCTCTTCCAACTCTAGAGTATTTGTCTACATTATCATTCCAATCTGAGATATAAAAAACTTAAGAGTTTAGGGATGGACTGGGATGTACCTTGAAGCCTAGTTTATCAGGTGCAAAGTAATAATATCCCTAAGAAACAAAGAATATGAATTGTTGCTGCCTCTATTTTGTTTCTGCACTTCCAATTTCTAAGCCTCCTATTAGGCTACAGATGTTTGACAGAACTCTAAGAAACACACTAAAATCCAATTTATAGTTCTGCCTCATCAAACTAGACTTTAAGTCCCTCAAAGTTTATTTGTTAGTATCTGCTAGATCTGGGACAGTACCTGGTAAACTATAAGCACTCCTAAAAGCACACCAAAGTCAACTGTCTAGAGTGACCCACATGTTCATTCTCTGCGTTTTATACTCAAAGCCTATAGTGTAGTGACCATATCAGGGAACTGGGGAAGAATAGGTTTACATGTTTAGTTTATAACAGCAGGGTTGGAATGAGAAAAGATGGTTGTCTTACTTTACTTCCTATTTTTACCCAAGGGTATAAATTATGGACTTGAGCCTAAGTAAGAAAACGGTTTTCTTGCATTTACACATACTGCCCCATGCCACTCAAACAGTGAATTGTGATCAGAATGGTATCTCAAGTGCATTTCAAAGTCAAAAGAATTTAGTCAAACTACTATTTTCTTCCAAAAAGAGAAAATCTCTTAATACATCGTGATACACACAAATTATGCTCAATTCTGGGAACCATCCTGCCAACCACAACAAAGTATTTAATCAATTGTATCCGTAGACAATGATCTCATGTCCCTGAGTTTCTCAGAATCAGGCACGTGAGGTAATGGTGAGAGTCAGGGAGCAGAAATAAAGTGAGTGGTTTGAGGCACCTTCTGTCATTTCTTGGAACAGATGGCCTTAAGAGTCTCCCCTAGAACTAATAGGATAAATCTTAGTACGTTTTCCTTTCTATTGTTTAATACTTTTTGTTATGAATAAATCAGGTTGGGTTGGTTTTTTAAAAACAAAACCCAAAAAACACACACAAAAAAACCCCAAACGACAGAGCTCTAGTGGCCTAGTGGCAAGAAGCTGCACTGCAATCCAGAAGCATGCGGTTCAAATCCACCAGATGTTCTGCCGGAGAAGGAGGGGCAATCTCCTCCTGTACCAGTCAGATCCAATTTGAAGGTACACGCACACAAAAATAATAAAAAAAATTTAAAAATTAAAAATCAACAAAAAACAAACCACGCTCACTGTTAGGCTATTCTGAATCAGGGGGTCCTGCACACATCGGGGAATCCTAGCTCGGAACACCTTTTAGCTTCTTATCTGAGCAAGTGTCGTACTAAGCACTTAATATCTAACTTCTTTAATCTTAATAAGCTACAAAACCAAGCCCACCACCCTTGAGTCGGTTCCCACTCATGGCGACCCTCTGTGGGGTTTCTGGGGCTACATGCTTTTTGGGAGGAGTCTGCACATCTTGCTCCCATGAGGCAGCTGGTGGGTTCAAACTGTCGACCTTTCATTAGCAGCTGAGCTCATGTGATCCCCGTGAATTACAGTTATGGCTAGTTCACCAGTAAGGCTAGGACGCCTCAGGACGTCAAATGAGGTCCAGCTGGCCCCAAGGTAGCCGGCCACATGGCCTCTTTAGTGGCACTGATGACACACATCATTCGTTCCTTTGTGCTGCACTAATAGATACCAAACAGCTTTGAACATTTATCAAAAACTATACATTCTGTTTATGTATTTCTACTATTTTCCAGTGAAAATACAGAGTAAGTCGTGTTATAAAACACAGATAAAATTTAGGCAGTGCATTTAAAATCTATGAAGGGTAAATTATTTTCTCTTACTTTTCATGGTAGAGAAATACATAAATGGTTCCTCCAGCTGCCATGAGCCAAATGAACCAACGCATATGAGATGCCAGGGGTCCAAGTTCACGGAGGTTTAACCTAAAAATGTAAATGTGACAACAAAGAAAAGAAGCCATAAATGAAGGCAATTCATGGTCTGTGTTCCCCTCTAGTCACTGATACAAATGGGGGAGAGTTTACAGGAGGAAAAGGCACTCAACACATTGGAGGTATCTGGGTAACAGGGTAAATTTAACTAATGAAGGCCAAAATTTGTGAGTCAACCTTTAAGGCTTAGAATTAGTTCATATGTGGTTAAAAATAGAATCAACTAAAAGCAGGCATGCAGGAGTGGGTCCCAATGCCTGTGACACCTAACTTTATTCAGCAGCCTGGGAAAGGCCACTCACCTGCTAATTTCTGACAGTGTGTTTGGGAATGGATTGTTTACAAAGTTGAATGGGAACCCTAAGCAAAGTGCTGAACTGAGATCACAGTCCCACAGCAGATACCTAATCTACAGGCCAAGTGTCTCCCGTTACCAATCTCTCTGCCAAGACGAAACATGAGGCGTATCCCAAACATACATTCTGGAAGACATTTTATTAGAACTTAACTGTGGATTGCTGTGGTACTGAATTTCAAAGTGGTACAAATTGTCCTCATTTGGTATTACAAATAAATATGAGGTTTAGGGGGAAGGTTGTTTCTGATCAGCTTTAACTGTGACATTAATATTTTATAATGGTGGGTGGAAACACCCAAAAGCTACTTCATAGTGGAAAAAGTACTCCTTGCATGTCTCAGACTACACATGAAGAAATTCTCTATTTTAACATTCAAATCCTCAGCTGCATTAAAAGTCTTAGTTATTTACGTATTTTAAATTGAGGTATACTTCACAACAGCCTCTGGTGGCCTCGCTTCAATACCAAGCAGCCCTATAATTTAGCAGCAGCTGTTGGGAGAGACAGCACTACGTTTTCTTCCAGTAGATAATTAGGTTTCTTCTGAATGATTGATGCTGTACTGGCTGAAATCTAGAGGTCTGTTTCTAATGACTACAATAGTTGATGGAATAATATGAACTTCTGAGTGTTTACAACTAGACCATGTCTTCTGGGAGGAGAGAGAGCTAAGGTTTTTAATTATGGGTTTCAAAGCAAAGTTCTGGCTGGTCAGTATCTAAAAGGGTAGCAGGCTAAAGGAAATCGGGCAGAACACTAGGCATGTTAAATAGGTAAGTAATGTGTCTAACTCTCTTACACATATGGCTAAAGAAATGCAAAATGTACCTGGTTTATAGCAGCTGCTGCTCTGTGAAATGAACTGAAGATAAAGGGAATAAATGTGAAAAGTGAGCTTGTTTTCCTCATACACATTTATAAAATTTCCACTTGAACAACTCAACGTCCAAGTTGCTGTTCTAGCAGCAGCAGAGCTGTAGAATAAGTAGAATAAGAGGGCAAAGGATAGATATTTTGAAAATCAGGAAGCTACCTGCACGCATGCCCACAGCAGTTCTCAAACAGAAGAGTGCAGTGCCCAGATAGAAATCCTGAAGGGCAGCAAATCTGTAATCTGATCCAAGGAAATCATATTGGGGTGGAAAACATGTATGTGTGTGTGTTTGTGGGAGGGGAGATGGTGCTGACAGCAGGGCCTAAAAGAAAGGGGAAAGAATGGAGGAATTCTAAGTAATATACCAACACTCTCTTGAAACAGAAGGTATCTTACCATGGAGCATAAGAAGCAGCAATGAAGAAATAGATAACCATTCTATCACACATGTGAAAACAATGCTCCACTGTCCTGGGAGAAAACAAAACAAACAGAAAACACTTAAATATTCCAGCCAAATGTGAAACCATAAGTATTAACACTTCACTAGAAGGTGATTTCTATTCTACTAGTTTCTCACAGCTTTTTAAATAAAATGTTAGCCAAAGATAAGGCTGAAAATAGAAATGTTGTTCTTTCTAAGGTTGCAGATACAACAGGTACTTTCACAACTCATGCATGAACTGTAAGGGCTGAACCCAAAATGTTCTAAAGTGGTAAAAACAAATAAGCAAAACAAAAACAACCCAAAGAACTAAAAACTGGTCTTTTCCAACTTTTGTATTTTTTTTTTTTAGCCTAATCAACTCAATACAGGAATGAAACTCTTCAAGGAGATGTACTTCTGGCTTTGATCATTGTGCAGGACACACCAAGTCATGGAACTCTATAAACTTCCTGAGCTGATGTCACATCCTGTGGGCCCAATCTACTGAGAATGCCTTAAGTGCAGTGTTTACCTCAAACATTCTAGTGCAGACAATAAGTGGCAAGAAGGGAAACTGGAAATCTAATTTGGGAACAGCAATAACAACAGAGACACTTGTTGCAGAGGGTGGCCACTTGGATTTCTCATCAAGGACCTCTTCCCATAATGGACAAGTCAGGAATTATGCAAAATGCTTGGCTCCAAGAGGTCTAGTCATGAAATGGATTAGATGGAGCCCAGTCTCATGAATCCACTCTCAGTGCCTGAGGGCTAAGGGCCAGGCTGTGCTGAAGCCCACACCAGAAACACACTGCTGACTTGTGTCAGAAAAATTCATTTGTGAGCAAAGTTTTTTTCAGGGGGAGCTCTGGTGGCTTAGTGGCAAGGAGCTGCAACTACAATCCCAGAGGCGCACGGTTCGAATCCACCAGATGCTCTGCTGGAGAAGGAGGGACAATCTCCTCCTGTACCAGTCAGATCTGATTTGATGGTACACGAACACACACACAAAAATAATAAAATAAAATTAAAAAAATTTTTTTTCAGTCTACTGGTCAGAAATGATAACTCTAGATAATAATTTAAACCATAAGCAAAAAATAACAAAACCCAGAATACATACTCAAACAGAAAACCCCAAACCTAATAGTTTATCAAAGCTTCTCAAATGAGTTTGCATGTCAGATGACCTGGGGAATTCATAAAACAATCTACAAATTCTAAATAAGAGGAACTGGTATATAGAGTAGAGAATGGAGGGAAGGGGACTTTCTTTTTTCTTCTTCCTTGAACAAATTCCTTGAAGGATTCTGATTCTGATGTGAGTTCTGGGCCTTTCTTGGACAGCTTCCTAGAATGCCATGTCCACATTGTAGCGCTCAAAGCCAGACCTGGAATCTCATTTGAGTCTCCTACCCACCTCTCCGGTACTCACTTTCCCCGCAGGTAAATTCTGAAGCTCTGCCTCACTTACTTTGGGCACTTGGCCAGGAGAGATCGGTCTTTGAAGAAGGACATTATGCTTGAAAGGGTGGAGGGGCAGCCCAGGAGTGGAAGACCCCAGATGAGATGGATCGATACAGTAACTGGGGCAATGGGGGTAGGTGTGTCAGTGTCTGCGAGACTGACTCAGGACAGGCAGGCTTCAGAGCTGCTGTACGTAGGGTTTCTATGAGTTACAAGTGACCCAACAGCACGTAACAACCACCATCACAGAGTATATGTGAACATTAAAGGAGACAATGCTCCTCATGGATTTAGCACAGCACCTCGCATGTAAGAAACACCCAACAAGCTCTAATTCTCTCTCTTCCTTTAGTAAATGAGGACCATCCTAGGAGAGGGTTTAACCAAGCTGCTCCTTGCAGGCAAGCATTCTGAAGCTTCATCTGACGTACTTTGGGCATGTTGCAAGGAGGGACCAGTCCTTGGAGAGGGACACCATAGGAGAGGAAGACCCTCTATAAGATGGGCTGATTCAGTGACCGGGGTAATGGGGGCAGGTGTGTCAGAGACAATAAGACTGGCACAGGATAGAGCAGGGTTTAGGGTGTTGTATATAGGGCTGCTACGAGTCACAGGTGACTTGATGGCACATAACAACAACAACAAGAACATTCTAGGATTTTTTTTTAAAAACCCAGTGATGCAAAGCAAAAATCTGCAGGTGGTTTCTGATCCTAGCAGTGCTATTTCAAGGTTGAAGTGTTTGGTTTCTATTACACCTTCCTCTCAGCCCTGCAGGGAGGCCCTGAAATATGAAGTAGGCATCTACAACTCTTTATTGATTCAGAAATCTAGACATCAAGGCCAAGTCAGCTGAGGCAACCACAGTGAGACTGTGCCAAGAAAATAATGAAGTGCTCTGTTGCTGGCGTGGCCTCCGGGCTTTACGACAGCGGACCCTGAGGAGCCAGGACAGGTCCTCCTGTGGCTCTGCCTTGAGTCCCTGGCACCCTCATGGTTCAGAGCTATGGTTTTATTTTAGGCCCAAGGCACCATCACCTTAAAGAAAGAGGCTGCAGAAGGCAAACGCAATACTCTGTAGAGGGTGATGAAAATAGCTCAGGTCTGGGAGCCGGATGTCCTGGGTTTGCAGGCCATTTCTCTGAGCCTTCGTTTCCCCGAGCGAAAATGAAAAGGTTTGGATGAAATGATCTCGAAGTATCCTTCTAGCTTATTTAACTATTATTATTGTTAACACTTATTCTACACATGGGGAAACCAGCAGTCCTCTCATTAATCCCAAATCCTGCTTTTCAATGAAGCAACTTTGAACAGTACAGTGTTTAGACCACTTGAGATTTTTTGTTGGACATTTTGCAAAACCAAAAGGTATATCTGTATGCATGTCAGAGTCAGTATATATCTGTATGCATGTCGGAGTCAGTGAGTTTGGCTCAGGACAGGGCAGGCTCCAGAGCTGTTGTTGTACATAGGGTCACTATGAGACATAGGCAACTGTACGTCATATAACAACAACAGCAACAACAACAACAATCCTCTTTGGACTATAGCACAATCATTGCACTACTCACTTAACTTGGGTGTTACTCTTTGTTTTCTCCCTAACAAATGCTTTCACTTGGAGAACGAACACCTTTATGTCCTGGTTAGGAAGCCAAGAGCCATCAGATTGTCTAGGAAACGTCTGTTCATGAAAAGGAATGATACGTGACTTTGTATCTGCAGGACCTAATTCTGAAAACTGAACTTTACCAAACAGTAAACCGAAGCTATAGCATACCTCCCTACACTGCTATACCCTCTAGTCCTTTTGTAATTTTCAAAACATTTTCACATACACTATCTCGTTCACCTATCATAATAACCCTATGAGTCAGATACTATTATTTTCCCTTCACTAATGAAGAAATCAAAGCTTTAGGAGGCCAAGTGACTTTAACACTTATTCAAGGTCGTGGTTAAATGGTAGGGCTGGGACGCAAAGGCTGGATGCTGACTCTAAATTCAATGTAATTAACCTAGCGATGCCTCTCTCTCTGCTGAGGAACCAGCATGGTTTTGTGGTTACTGAGGCTAACTTACTGTGTACTGTGGCACAAAGGCAGATTTTCAGATCCAAATGAAGACCCTCAGCTTCTGGCTGATCTAAAATGTCCTCAATAACAGGACAGCATTATAATCTACAAGGCAGGGCCATGCCTCCTCGTTCCCCCACCTGCAGAACATACACTGGCAGGACACTCAGGAACGTCAACTATTTGGAGCTGTTAGAACAGCATGCCGTCCACCACCGTACCTTAAGTGACTCTTTTTCCACGATACAATGTGAAATACTGTGGACACGATGAAGAGGGCACAGAGGCCCATTCCGTAAATCCATGCTGTTATCTTTTCCCAGCAGTCATCTGACAGCCGATGGAGGAGGGCGCTGCCCACAATGGCCGGAACAATGAGGAACTGAGGGGAAGGGAAAGAAAATGAGTTAGCCCGAGTTTTACTGAATTGAGACACATTTGGGGGTGCGGGGAGGGGGTTGGAGAAGGCAAGCATTTCAAAGCATTTCAAAGGCAACATTCGCCTCTCCCAAGGAATCTTAGTGAAAGCCAGATGAAGTAGTCAGTTGCTGCCCCGGAAACAGGTACTGCTGTTTTGTGCCTGGAATTGTGCCAACCAATCGAGGACGCAGTTAAGGAGGCAACATTATTCAACGGTTGCAAAACAGATGCTCTTTATCCTAATTTCATTAAATAGGGTCATATTTCATCTTATCCTCTAATCTGATTAACTAACTCTTAAAAATATTCAAATGGCAAGCATATATCCAGGTTTCTCAAGGATCTCTTGCTTGTTAAATAGTCTGCCCAGTTTTCCCATGGGCTACTGAAATCGCACTATTTAAGCAAAAGGCAAAAAAAGAAAGAAAAAGAATTAAATCAGTATTATAAAATACACATATGCAGAAGGATGGGCAATCTCCTCCCATGCAATTAGCTGCCTCCGAAAACCTGCCAGAGGGTCAGCTATGGGTCGGTTCCGACTTGATGTTACACAACAACAACAACAACAATATATATGTCACATAATAGCACCATGGAGGTACACATTTCTTAGAAGAATCAATCGTATAAGACCAGAACGGCAGCAATTACCCAGGGATAAAGTCAGAAGGCAGAAAAGAATAGTAAGATGGAAACGGTAAATATCGGGAGGAAGTGGGAAGAGTGCTGTTAGTTTGTGGTTATCGTCTTGAAGGGAAATGTGAATGAGCTGTTAAATGGAAAACTAATTTTTCACTCAAACGACAAGAAAAAGTTTAAAACAAAGCGCGCACACATGTAAAAATAATGAAACTAAACTGCAAGTTGTATGTCCTAACTTGGAGATAATTACATTCTACTAATGTGGGAGCTACTGAAGAATCAAAATTCTAGGTTTATTTTTTTAATAATGCCTTTCATGTGAGCAAAGGTTATCCACTCCCTAAGTGTAAAATCTGTAATAAATAAAATAAATAAAATCCCAATGTGTAAAATCTGTAATAACAAATATTTTTCTGGATATGAGAACGAACACACCTGGCAAAGAATATAAATTCAGTAATTTTCTTCTTTCCTTCAATACCTACTTTTGTCCTCTTGCAAAAGAACATGAAAATCCCTTGGGTTAGAGCAGCATTAAATGTCAAAAGCTGACGTTTTCATTGGCGTGGATCAAAAGCCAAGGGCAATAAGGTAAAATTTATTTGACTTAAATGAGCATCTTCAAATGTTCTGCCCTTCCTACTTTTTCCAAGCTAATTTACCCTCTCTTCAATGAAATGATGATAATGAAAGTTTTCTGTTTGTGTGATTTAGAAATTTTACTGTCTGCGAGACCCAGGAATCTGGGACAGAGGTTTAATAAGGTAACAATCTCCCTTCCAAAAAAATCAATGTGGTGGTTTCCTTCACTGTGTTTGTGCAATTGTTCCTCAGATTGTGACATGTCCAAAGGAGATATTTTGCGAATTATTCATGGAAATTCTAAGCAATATTATATACAGTGCATCATCAGTCACAATCATATTTAATTGCTCAACTGTAAGCTAAGTTACAGACACATGATTGATCATTTTATTGGTTGGTGACATGGAGACCATCACAGCACTATCCCTGCAACTTTTCAAGAGTTTTTTGCATTGTAGTTAACTGAGAAACTAACAGAGGACCCTGAAGCCAGGAGTGAAGACAGAAATCACATAAACGAAACTGTCACATAACTGCTGTCCAGGATATCTATATTCTCTAGACCTAATCTCACCCTGGTCTCTTGAATATTTTTTTGTTTGTTTGTTTTTAAATCTCCTAAAGGGGCCTGTGCACAAATAATTATCTTGAGAATTCCTTTTACTTTTAACTCTGAAAATGTAGTCAGGAATAAAAGATGGATGTTCAGACAAACACAGCAGAAAGTCAAACAAGGCCATGGATTTTTAAAAAACCATCTTTGGCCTCTGAGCATTGTGCCCCTCTCATCCTGCAAAGCTCACTTCATGTAAGCATGCCATTCAGGCAAGGACAGAGGTCAGCGTGACTCTAGAGAATTCCACTAAATCCTTTCTGTCCCCAGAATCTAAGCCATGGGTTCCAGTGAGACTATCCACAAAAAGAGCTTACTCAGAATTTCATTATTTAAGCCCTTTTATGGAATCCAGGGCAGGCGTGACAGGTAATACTTTTTTTTTCTCTCCTAAAGAAAAAAAAAAATTAGCAAGGTTCTAGCATAGTAAGTACTTAAATAAAAATCTTTTTAGCACCTATGGACAGAAGACATTCATTTAGTAACAAATGAAGACTGGTTTTATTATCAGAATATACAGATCCTTTATAAACTTTCATTTATGTCTAGTAATGACCAAATGGCATATTTTATAAAATTATAAAGCAATCCACTGAAAATTGTATTTTATTTAAGGTTTACCTGTCTTTGTGATTCCTTTTACAGAAAACAATGTTGACTATTAACTCTTTGAAGGAAAGGATTAAAGACATGAAAAGGTACAACCTAAATTGAAGCAAATTTTATCCTAAAGATATAAGTAACTAATTTAAGTATACCGACACTATTTAGTATTATTAAACTACATACACACGTACGTATTTTTGAGATTTGAGTGAGTTTACAGAGCAAATTGGTTTTCCACTCAAGCACTCACATATGTTTTGTTACATTAGCTATAATGCTCACACCGTGCCGGCCCTCCTCTCACTTTCTCCCTGCGATTCTTGTTTCTAGTAATCTTTGCAGTCTATCCTTTATCCCTGTAAAACGCTACCCTCATGATAGTTAGTATATGGTTGACTATTCTATGGAGTGAGTGCCTCCCTGGTGCTCTTGTTCATCTTAAAGGCTTGTCTATTGTCTGGATTAAAGTTGAGTCAAAGGAATGAGTTTCGTTCTAGGCTCAAAGGGTGAATAAGGGTCACAGTGCAGGGATTCTGCTAGTTTGTAGTAGACCAGAAAGCCTGGCTATTTTTACATTTTCTTAGTTTTTATGCTACATAGTCCACCCATCAATACAATACCTTCCCCTGATTCCCTTTTCGTTTGGCCAGCAGTGGTATGAGACACCACCTAGTTCTCTGGTCTCAGGGTTGTGGAGGCTGAGGTCTGAGTGCTCAGTTAGTTCTCTGGACTAATTCTTTCTAGGCATTTTGGCTTTCTTCCCTCTTATTTGAACGGAGAACATTATCTTTGTGAACTTCATTGCCAGCTGACCTTCACATGCCCAGAGACTGTGGTCCTGAGGTCTTAGGCAAACATGTTTCTTTAAATGAGTAGATTGCTCTCTAGTTCTTGTTTTCCAACTGTTAATCATAAAAAAAGCCCCCAAAACAAAAAAATCCAACTATATACTAGCTACCACTGCTCCCTGAAAAGTCTCATTAAATGAAACTTTCCAGGGAAATCGTGAAAGAAAATGACAATCTGTAACGACAGAAGAAAATGATGAAGACACAAAGCACGCACACAAAAAGGAGAAAAGCTGCAGAATGTTCATTTACTTTTGGATAGGTTTTGCTTTTGTTTTTAAATGTCTGAGTATTTTCTGTTTCAGCAGAAACTTAGATGAGCACATTGCACTTTAATAAGTGATGGGAATAAAATGAACTATGAATTTTAGGACCAAATGTGCTTTTCTTCCACAATCTGGACTAATCTCTGAGAAGCAATAGCCACTTCAGGTGTGGGAAGGAAGTAGCTACCTTGTTCAGGGACTCATTCCATGGGGCGGGGAAAAAAGCACCTTTTAAAATACCTTCCTTGACAGTGTAAAATACCTTCCTTGACAGTGAATACAGTGGATTATCTTGAAAAGGTGGTTAATTTCATTTTCGAGATGACAATCTTCGCAAAAAGGTGTATAACTAGGTTCTTCCTATTCTTTTAAAGACATCCTGGCAGAGAAAACCAGTCCAGGACAAAGCTGGCCACAGGTAAGGGCACTGAAAGCATTCTCCATGCTCACACTGCTTCTAGTGACTTGAACAAGCAGTGACACTCTGGGAGGTCAGGTCACAGAGATAGGCCTGAAGATTCTAGAGATAATCACCCTGCCTCCTGCTGAGGCCCCGGGGCAGATGGAAAATGACAGGAGGTGCATACTCACTGCGTGTGTGTAACAGTTAGCAGCATGTTCATAGCAAGTTGGTTTGTAGCGGCCATTGGCTGGAGCCCGGTGGTTCATGAACCTGTAGAAACAAAAAAAAGACATCATGTGGGGACAGCTCCAAGCGTGTACAGGACAACGGCTGCTTGGCCTATTCTAAATGGAGTGGAGATTGATGGAAATGTCTAGTTACAGGAACAAAATCAAAATCTGAAGAAGTGTAAACTGAGCCGACAGCAATAGTCCCAATGCAAACACTGTAGCTGGCTGAATTTCTTATTCTTTCAGTCTCTTCAGGGAAAAAAACCTTCCACCAAACAAAAACAAACAGAAACTCTATCCTCTTCCTTCAACTGGTACCCCTTCCACTTAAAAGAAAAAAAAGTGAGAGGAAGCTCACAGCTCTTAACAGTCACCACGGTAACTATGAACTCTAGAAATGTCCATCACTGTCACTGCATGAGAAGAGACACATTTGAAAGGGTTCTCCGATGAGACCTATGGACATAATGGCACTGTTTTCATTTTCAGGGTCTTGAAAGTCCTCCAGCTCTGACTGTGAAAAATCTCCCCACTTCTCTATTGCTCATCTCAGTGGAAAATATCTACATTTTCCTGCTCTGATAACAGAAGTTCTGGTTTTGGCCTATTTTACTGTCATCTTTTTCTCTCAAAATTTAGAAAGCTTTACACATGTGGACCTTTGAACTCTACATGAATAGCAGGCCTGTCCAACTAGTTTCCTGTGTTTATGAAATTACCTGTTACAGCACTAATCAACTTAATGATACCTCCAGGCCACTTAAAAGGGGAGATAAAACTACCCCCTGCATTATTTCTTACTGAGAAGAATTCACTTCAAAAACCAAAATGGAAATATGATCTCTCTCACAGCTCTCAAACTGCTTCCAACTCATACCTTGACGCCTCCAATGGATTTCTGAGGCTATAAATTTTTATGAAAGAAAATGTCCTATTTTTTCTCCCTGGTGGATTTGAACTGTCAACCTTTCATTTAGCAGCCTGTTATGTTATACACTACTCCACTAGGGCTTCTCTAGCTATAAAATTCACATATGAACACAACTGTGAATATCTAGCTATATGCATCTACATGTCAGTCTCTTCCACACACACACTATCAGATTCCACCCTTTGCTCTGGGCTAGCTGTGACAATCAGCATTACAGAGCAAAGCAAGAATGGCTCAGAACCTGGAGAATTGAATAGCATTTTTCTATTCTTGTGAGGTGAGGGTGCCCCCAAACCCTGTGTCTGAGCTTCATGAGGCTGTTCTCTGGAAGACAGGACGCATAAGATTAGGAGGTAAAAAAAGCACAGCTGTCAGGATCCGAGAGGAAAGAAGATGTGGAGACGCAAAGGGCTCTAGGAAAGGCCTGAAAGTGTTTGAGACTCTGAGGCCCGGCTGCATTCCTGGGGATGCAGTCTGCAGACGTCAACAGGCTCTTCACAGAAATGCTCCTTCTGCTCGAGAACTAGTTTAAGGCAGGCTTTTGTTATTTGCCACTAATGAGTCCTGACTCATTAACTACACTTTATTAATTCTGACAAAAGGGAAAAAAGGTACCAGGCTGAACCAAATGGCAGAGCCAGGTTGCCAAAAATTGCCTATAATGCATGATCAAGCCTATCTAAGAGCCCAGTGTATGAATCAAGACAAGCCTCCACTTTCTCCCTTAATGAAGAAGGGCCTGTCATTCGCAGAACAAAATGAATAAAAATAAAACTGCAGCCTCTGCTAATCCCACACGTACAGATCAGGCAGGAAGTCTACCGGGGGATGAATCTGGGACAGCATGCTATTTCATGTGGACCATCAGTGGGTTTGCTACCTGTCACGTGTGTGTATAGCTACTTGTTGAACTGAATCCACCAGATGATTTGAATATAAAAAGCAACATACAGTCAGTTGCAATAGTTTAAGAATTTATCCTGTTGGTAAATAAAAAAAAAAAATGCAAGCATCATCTCTTCTCCCTTGGTAATCCTGTAAATAATTTTACTAATTTCCTAAGGGATGAGTGAACTGCCATATAGATCTTAAAAAAGAAAATAATTACACTCTTGGGAAGAATGCTTTAAAAGCATCCCAAGTATTCACGCTTCTACCACATCATTACCCTGAGACATAACAACAGAGCTATAAGCAGCACAGTCTATAAGAAATTTGAAAGGGTAAAGTGCAAAGCTTCAACAAGGTTGGGGTTAGATTAAATTGAAAGTGCTTTGCGTAGGGCACGAGTGTGGAGGGTTTGCGTACCCACCACTGGTCTGCAGACTAAAATAGCAATTTATATCTCTGGCAGCCCAATCTAAAAATAGTCAGGCCATTACACAGCAACAGGAATAGACTTTCACATTTTCTCCCCAAAGCAAAGAAGTGAGGTGGCCATGTTAGTAAGAGCCCCAGACCACCTAGAAGAACTCAGGTTAAAACCACAGACCGCAGTATTAGAGCAAAGCAAGCCACCCAGGGTGCTTTTGGGCTGTCTTTCATGATGGCCGGGGGAAGATTCCAGCAAAAACTGGTTAAGAGCAACTCTCCTCCGAGCAGCTGTTCTCAGAGTCCCTCACAGGGGCTCAGAGGGGGAACCAGCATAAGTGTTCTGTGGGTAACTTTTCCATTTCTCTCTGGCCTGCCAGGGTGCAATCGAGCCTCCTCCATAGTCTCAAGACATCAACCCCAAGACCTAAATGGAAAAGCTGATGTAGGATGCAAATGAACTCCCACACACTGAGCCTATTCGAATTCTTCCTCAAAAAGGCAACGAGAGGAGCTGTCAAGTGTTATGGAAAGCAGCACCTATTTATGGGAGACACATTTAAAGTAAATGCTGTGTAACCCCAACAAAAGATTCCCTGAGTGGTGCCAAGAGTTAACATGGTGATCTACAAGGCTGAGGGTTAGAGTCCATCCAGAGGTTCCCTCTGAAGAAAGGCCTGGTGATCTACTTCCTAAAAGTCACTGTTGAAAAGTATGTGGAGCAGAGTTCTATTATAATAAGAGAATTGCAATGGGAAGAGGGAAGGTGCTGTAAACAGATACAAAGACCACACTCAGAATGGCTATTCAGTTAAGCAAGGCTTGTTCACTATATCCTCACTTGTTTTGGTCAGCAGCACACTCTTGCCTCTCCCAAGACCCAGATGGAACTTCAAACATAAGAGGGGCTAAGGGTGGGGGTGGAACAGGTCAGGACTCTTGGACCAGTTGCTGCTGTCAAGTCAACTCTGACTCATATCAAACCAATGTGTCACAGTAGAAGTGTGCTCCATGGGGTGGGTTTTTTGGGGAAGCTCCAAGCACTGTGTCTGTCCTCTGAAAGCATATCAGCCGCCTACACATCAGAGGTCAGAGATCAAAGTCCAGATGCTGTCCTTGCTTCTTCATCTTGCAAATGCAGGGCTGCCTCAAAACATGCTCCCAATGTGTCCACCTGTGTCAATCTCACAGGTGCCCTCTATATCAACAACCAGCATCTCACTCTCCGCATGCCACTGCCATTCAGCTGCTCATAAGCAACAAGGTCAGCTGTGCCTCAGGGTATTTGCATGAGCTGTTTCCTTTCTGAACAGAATATTCTCCTCAGAATGCTCTTATCCTTCAAACTCAGTGTCACCTCCCTAGAAAGGTTTTCTTGATCGTTCTTCCTAAAGTAGCACTCCAGCCTCCCTGCCCCACTCAGGCCCAATATATCAGCATTCATGATGCTTCAATTCAATTCCATCTTCTGCCACTGGAATGAGAATTCCAACTCTGACTTGTTCACTTCTTCACATACAACTCCAAACACAATGCCTCGTTTATTGTTGGTGCTTAATGCATTGACTAGATGACTAGAAAGGTGGGCATTTTTAAGCTGTTTCATCTTAAGAGAGAGGGATCCCATTGTTAATTACTTTCATGAGGGGTTCAGTGGTTTCTATGAGTAAAAGAGCAAAACAGGCAGTTTGTGAGCCAGAAGAGCCCTTATTTGAGAAATGTCTAAAAGGCAATGGACATTCCACAGGCCCCTTCATGGTGCAACACAAGTGGGTCCCTGCCCACCACACCTTACTGTTAACCAATTAGCTGCCCTTGAAGATGGAGAAGGAGCCCTGGAGGTGTAGGGTTTTGCTTCTAGGGCCAATCGCCCCCCACCCTCACCCCAGCAGAAAGGTGAGGCAGTCAGTCTCCTCTCATATAAAACCTGATGTCAGTCCAGCACGAGTCAGACTTCACTTGAGGGCAGAGGGTTTGTGTTTGGTTTAGGTTGGCAGGGCATCTCTTTGGAATGACACTTTTCAAGGAAAATGGCCATTTCTGGAGGTGATGCTGGGAGTGGCAGTGGGCCTTTTGTTTCATTATGAAATAAAAGAGAAGGCGTACCTCAAGTGATTATCCCATAACCATGGTGCCCATGACTCAGGGACCCAAGGACACAATTAGGAGGGGCAGGCTCTGGAAGGCTTCCTGATGCTTCTGAATGAAATATTTTCAACATGGTCAATGTTTCAAGCTGACAATGAATGATGCAGGCAGGGGCTGGGGAAAGGACCATATTCCTTGGATTTATGGTGGCAAAACTGAAGGGCGGGGGAATAAAAGGAATGTATACCAACAACATTAAGCAGAAGTTCTGTGGGTGCTGAACATCTCTCTGATAGACACACAGATGCAGTGTGGGCAGGAAGAGCAGGAGAAAGAGGTGAGCTGGCAGCATGGGGGGTAGAAAAAACCATGAACATGAACCCTTGGATCTGCCCCTGTGGAACTGTGCAACTAGGGACAATTCCCCTTTGAATTTTCTAACCCTGTTTGCTTTTCTATTAAAAGGGTATAAACTTTGTCTTCTAGGGTTACAGTTGAGGATGAGATGAGATGAGTAATAAACAAGTACCCAGACAGTGCCTGGCACAGATAAATGCGGGCAGTTATTATCAGCTAGAGATAACGTCCAGGGGAGAGAATGACTGTGTGTGGTGCTGTGTGTGGAGAAGGAATAAAACAAGAAAGAAAAATGAAGTTCTCTGCATCTCTGTGGAATTTCTTGCACTCTACCTAGCCTTTTATAGAAGGCATGCATGTGTGAAGACCTTGCCTTATGACTGTAGACACTGGGCTAAGTTTCCTTATAAGACTTCTAGCAGAAATGGTATCCTGGAAGTTGATCCAAAGCTACAATAACCAAGTCTCCATTATGGGAACCCCAGAAAGGCGTTTGGGATTTTCTTAAGAGTTAGGCATCACTGCAAACTATGGCTTGATGAAGTATTTTTTACTGCGATCTCATGCTCCTACATCCCAATAAATCTATCAGAGGATAAACTCGCTTATTGTTGAATTGTTTTCAATTCATAGCAACACCCTCATGGGGTTTCTGAGGCTGTAAATCTTAACAGGAGACTGTCTACCTTCCTCCCTCAGAGCTCCCGTGTGGTTTCAAATGACATTTGTTCCTACTTCCACTTCCTTTGCAATTTGCCTACCTCAAACAATCCTGAATGCTGAGAAAGGTAAGGAATACATATTTAAGCAGTGCTAGAAAGCAGCATCAACATTTAAATGTGTGAATCTTATAAATGAAGACTTTTGGAGGCAAGGATTCAGAAGCTTTGTCTGACATACTTTGGGCATGTTGCAAGCAATGACCAGTCCTTGGAGAGGGACATCATGCTTGGGAGGGTGGAGGGACAGCTCAAGAGAAAAAGACCCTCGATGAGATGGAGTGATTCAGTGACTGGTGTGATAAGGGCAGATGTGTCAGAAACAATGAGGTTGGCTCAGGATAGGGCAGGGTTCAGAGCTGTTGTACATAAGGTCGCTACAAGTCGCAAGCAACTAGATGGCACATAACAACAGCAACAACAACAACAACAACAACTATTTATTACTTTACTTCCAAGTTCAAGTTGACCTTGTCATCTAGCCTATCAAAGAGAAATAGGAACTTCCAGGAAGCACTTGGTCTTCAAAAAAGCCAAGGTTGGTGTTGATGTCATCAGGAAAGGAACTGTTAAGATACACATTGCATGCAGTATTGTGCAGCCAAAAGCCCTTGCCACACTGAGAAAATGCTTCTATGTTTAATTTTTAAATTAATAAAGCAAAGGACAAAATTAGGGTTCTGTGCTAAGACACCTGGACTGGTTAGTTCCTGCTGAGGGAGTGGAACTCTAAATGAAGCTTGGTTTAGGAAACTAATCATAAAACAATCGCTTTCAGAGAGGCATTCTACAGGACGGGAAAGCAATGCAACAATCAAGTCAGGAAGGGGTAATTTCACAGACTTGCTACTTTTCTCCGAAAACAGGAAGAGCACAGATGTGCAGAGAAGTAAAAGCAAATCAAACAGACCACAGGCACAGGGTGGCAGGCCGGCCTATGCATATGCCACTTTCTCCCATCAAGGCCCTCTAGCCTGAATTCCTGACATCACGTTCTAAACGGAGAACACCATGGTTCATTTCAGCCCTGAACAACACTGATAATGAACTTCTTCACTGGAGCTATAGTGCCAGGCATTCTACCCCGAGTGACCAGCCATATTCGGAAGCCAGGTCCACGCAACTTTTCCTCTACATTTCTCCCCCCCGCCCCCCCCGTTATCCTTTGAAACTAGGATAGGGGATGAAACAAGGATACTGGGGTAAGTGGGCACTAAAAGGGGGGAGCAGCTGGAATTATTTTTTTTAAAGATATGTACTTGTTAAACTGCTGAATTAAAGGCAATGCCTAAACTCGACAGTAAGCTTTCTGGAAGATTTCATGCATCACTTTTCTTCTTTAAATTCCCCCGTCACTGCTGGGAGGAGATCTGGGAGCCAGGTGGTGGCCTGATTCAGACAAAGGGATGGAGAGTTGACACCAACACAGGAGAGGTGAACTTTCACCCATTTAAACCAGAAAGAATCAGAAGCCAGCCCGGGGCTTCGGATCAGAAGCGCAGGGCCAGCTTCCATCCATGGCTGGACAGCAGAGCCTTGGGGACAGCGAGCAAGGCCACTGTGCCTCCCCAGGCTCGCGTCCCCTCCAGTTCTTCAGTGAACGAGCAGCCGGGTAGCCTTCCGGTCCGTCGGTGGCGGCGCCCCGGTTCCTCCTCCTCGTTTCCTTGCACAGGCATCTCAGTAGCAGGTCTTCCCAGCTAAAAGCTAACTTGCCCCTTCACAGGGTCCAAAAGAACACCGCCCAGGGACCACCAGCAGCAGCAGCTGCAGCAGCAGAACCCAGCAAGGCCCAGCCAGGGCCAGGCAAGGCGAAGCCGATGGGAGCGTGCCTCAGTTTCCCTTTTGCTAGGGCAGTTCGCAAACAAAGCATCGAAAATGTCGGGGACACCATGCTTAACCAGCAACCTCGCTGCTGGGAGCGGCAGCTGCGGGCCCAGGTTCGGTAACACCCCCCCCCGGGGGGGGGGCACGAGGGGCGCAGCAAAGTCAGGGGGCTCAGGATAGAGAAGGGGCAGCGCTGCGGCTGGAGTTCAGAGGGAGCGGAGCACACATACTGCCTGCAGAAGGGTTTAGGGTGAAGCTGGGGGAGCTACGGGGGCCCCGGTTGGAGGGCGGGGGGGGCGAGGTCTTGGAATGCATCCTAGTTCACAGATGGCTAGGGAACCCCGGGCGGAAAGACCCCAGTCTTGGGAGGAAGGCGATCGGCTACGGCGAGCAGCAGGGCAGGGAATCCCCCGGGAGCTGGTGCCCGGCCAAGGCGTGGGACCCACGGGGAGATGGAGCCAGGTGAGAAGCCAGCACCCATGCGAGGGACGCGAACATGGACACACGCTCTCGACACGGACTGCGGGGCAAGGAGGGGCGCCCTCCCTCTCACCGCTGGAATCGATTCTTGAACCGCATTGATCCTCCGCTCCTCCTCGGGGGCCGGGGAGCTCCGTCTCGTCAGCGCCGGTGGCTGGGCGCGCGGCCCTCATGGGCTTGGGCTGCTCGGGAGGCCGCCTGCGTGCCCGGCGGAACCGTTCAGCCGAGAGGGCCGGATGGGCCAGGCCGGGGGTCGGGACAGGGCTGGGGGCAGACCGGCGACTGGGGGCGGGAGGGAGTCCGCTTAAACGGCCCCGGCACCTCCCGCCTCCCGCCTCCCCGCTCCTCCGCCCCCGGGCGCCAGCGCCCCGCCCCGGAGCCCGGCTCCACCCACACCCGCTCTGCCCGCCTGCGTGCACCCGCGGCTGCCTGTGCGTCACCCGCCGTGCGGCCAATCAGCGCTGCGAGCGGCGCGGCGGCAAGGCTGCCATTCATTCCTGCAGGGCTCGGGAAGTGGGGCGGAGCTTGGCGGCGGAGGGGGCGGGGCCAGGAGAGGAGTGAGAGGAGGAGATGGGGCGGTGCGCGTCAGTAAGTGAGGAGTTGCCATGTGCGGAGAGAAAATACCAAAGTGGAAGGAAGACAAATTGTGAAGGGGGAAGATAGGCCAAGGTTCTTAAAAGCAATTATGAAGGAAATAGCATACCCAATGCTTTGTCTGCCTTCTAGTCCTGCCTCGGTGTCAACCATTCATTCTTTATCATTCCTTTCTCCATCACGCCTTAATTTATCCACCTCATCATTTTGAGGACTAGTTCTGCTAGGGTATTGTGCGATGCTCCTAGACAGATGGTGAAATTTTTCGTTAAAATTTTCTGTGCAACTGGTTTTATTGTGGCATTTTGTTTGTTTGCTTTTGTCTGCCGTCGGGAAAACACTCAAACTCATTGCCATCCAGGAAGAACTGACTCACTGCTGACCATCCATTGGGCTTCTAAGGCTAAAATCGTGCAGATTGTCCATCTTTCTCTCGTGCAGAGCTTTGAGTGGATTCCAACCTCCAGAGAGGCATGAGTTTTGGTTACCTTTGCACTCCCTACATTAACAAAGTCTTGTTAGATACCTTATAGCTGAGCCTCCAGTAGGTTTTCAGAGGCTGTAAATCTTTTTTTTTTTCTTTTTTTTTTCAGAGGCTGTAAATCTTGTGAAAGGAGATTGTCCATCTTTGTCCTGCTGAACCACTGGTGGATTGAACCACCTGCCTTTGGTTCGAAAAGGCAGCCCCCCTTACCAGACCTCCCTACCAGAACTCCGTTGTTTACAATAGAATCGGAACCGATCCATAGCTGATCCTCTCTCAGATTTTCAGAGGCATTTAATCCAATGAGAGGAGATTGCCCTTCTTTTTCCCACGGAGCAGCGGGTGGCTTCGCAATTATTAAGACTTAGTACGAGTCTGTTTTAATTAGAACCACAGAGAGGAAATACTATTTTATATTACCTTCAAATTAATTTTAATTTTTTTAATTCAAGCAGCTGGAAACTTTCAAATAAACCTCCAAAAGCCAGAGGACTTGCTGGAAGAGAGGCTTAAAGAAATAATGTGTTTTCATAAGACTTGTTCTCTCCGTTTCTGGAATTTAAGTCTGCTCCCCTTGATACTTTTGCATGACGATGTTGGAGAAGAGTACTGAATAGCCCACGGACTGCCAAAAGAACAAGCAAATTTGTCTTGGAGGGAGTGCAACCAGGGTGCTCCTTAGAGGCAAGGATGGTGAAACTTCATCTCACATAATTTGGGAATGTTAAGAGACCAGTCTTTGAAAAAAGACATCATGCTGGAAAAGGTGGAGGGTCAAAGAAAGAGAAGGAAGACTTTCAAGGAGATGAATAGACACAGTGACTGTAACAATGGGCTTGAGTTCAAGGGAGATGGAGGATGAAGCAAGCATGACAGGACAAGGTTCAGATCTGTTGTGCATGAGTCACCAACTGCCTTAGTTGGCCTGAAAGCACCTAGCAAGAGCAACAATAACCCATCCAGGTAATCTGTCCACAGCCCAGCCTCACAGAGCAACTTTCTAGCTGTATGAATTTAAAATAAAAACATCTCACTTGTGTGAGATGATATCTCAAAGTTGTTTTGATTTGCCTCTCAGAGCTAAAGATTTTTGAACAAATTTTAATAGAACAGCAAGCAACAAATGCTGGCGAGGTTGTGGAGAGAGACTGGAACCCTTAGTCACTGTTGGTGGGAGTGTAAAATGGTGCAGCCACTATGGAAGGCAGCATGGTGCTTTCTCAAAAAGGTGGAAATAGAAATACCATTTGACCCAGCAATTCCACTACTGGGAATATATCCTGAAAAAACTAGAACTTTCACCCAAGCAGATATTTGCACACTCATGTTTATTGCTGCTTTGTTCACAACAGCAAAGAGTTGGAAACAACCCAAGTGCCCATCAACAAATGAATAGATAGAGAAGTTGTGGTATATTGATACAATGGAATACTACTCTGCGTTGAAAAACAAGGAACTCTTGAAATATTATACAAAATGGGTGACCCTGGAGGACATTATGCTGTGTGAAATATCTCAGTCACAAAGGGACAAAACTGCATAGTGCCACTCTTGTAAAGCAGGACTGACATTGGGGTTGGAGAGAAACTAAGAAAAGAGGGGATAATAAAGTGTACTTCATTGAAACAGAAGAGGGAGGGAACTGTTGGAAAGGAATCTATGAGTAGGTATTATTGTCATGACAAGAGTACAGAATGAAAGCTGCATGGTGAAATGGACTGGGGTGGGTGGAGATAGGATTGTATAATAACGAAACTTTTTTTTTTTACTTTTCAAAGAGAAAAACCAACTGGGAGGACGGATTTGCAGAGAGGAAAATGTGTAACAATGAATGAATGGAAATCCAGAGTCTCTGTAAACTTTCATTAAAATTTCAATTAATAAACGAAAACATCTCGGGCTTCTTGGGAGTGTTTATTCTGCCTTTGTCAAAGCATCACCCATAATTCTTATTACCTTTCCCAGGGGCCAGGAGCTAGAAAAGTACTTTCCTTAGCTGGTTAATCTTTCCAAGAATCTCATAAGATACGCATTATCCTCTTGTCCTAAAGAAAAGAAGGCTGAAATGGAAAATGCCAAGGGCAAACTCAGGATTTGCCAGATATCCTTAAGACCAAAGCCTCCTTTCAAACACCTAACTGCCATTTTACGTTAAAAAAGAAAAAATGCATAGCATTTAGGAGAGAAAAAAAATACAACCTTCTCCACCCTAAATCAGAAAAACTAGCATGGATGGTAGAGAAAAGACTGTTAACAAATAATCAATGAATGCAAGTGAAACAGCAACATGAAATAGCACAAAACTAAAAAAATAAAAATAAAAAGAAAAATATCACCACCACAAGGAAAAAAGGCCAACCAAACAGCTGATGCCAAGGGGGATCCTATCAGTGACAGAAGAATGTGGGTCATGAAAGAAGTGATTGAAGTCTAGTGAGGGAAGGAGATACTGGAGAGAAGGAGGGTGGCTTGTGAATGGATTTAGGTGGCATAGGTTCCCACATGGGGAAGATGGCACGGTACTAGGGCAAGGTTCAGATTCATTGTTCATAGAGCGGCTATGAGTTGCAGTCAATGGCACCTAACAGCAACAATAGTCTTTCTTTCAGAAGAAACTCTGATGGCCTAGCAGATAAGGAGTTGTTGTTCTGTTAAATTCAAGGTGCTGTTGTTGTTATTATGGGCCATTATGTTGGAACCAACTCATAGCTGACCCTTAAGCATGTTTTCAGAGAATCTGGTAGATTCGAACTTCCTGCCTTTGGATTGGCAGGGCAACTCCACACCACTAAGGCACCAGAGCTCAGTAAGTGATTAAAATTCAAGGGAAAATGATGGACAGTCTACTCCTGTGTGATTTACAGTCTCTGAAAAACCACCAAAGTGTCAGCTACGAGTTAATTCTGACTCCATAGCAATGAGTTCAAGGATTTTTTTTTTCCTTTCAGCAATAGACTATCAAACCTCTCTCCTGTGGTTCCACTGGGTGGAATTGAACTATCAATCTTTCAGCTGGTAGCGAAGCACAAACTGTTTGTACTACCCAAGGGTCTGAGAAGTTGTCAGTAGGGGAGGAAATTTGTGAAAGGGCCTTCTAGGTTTAGAAACACTAATGTGAATGGCATAAAAAGATAAAGACATAAAAGAAATTAATAAGTTAAAAAAACTAGATGAGCTGGAATAAAATACCATGACATACAGTGGGCTCCACCTACAGAAAAGTAGGAAGATAGAATAAAGTGGCCTATTTAAACAATATGATCACAAATTTAAATCCAACGCATAGTTTTTGAACCACCCAAAGTAAAATTGAACCTAAAAGAGAAGAAGAGGAAGAAAACTACGGAAATAACTTTGAATGACGTGTAATAAACATCTACACCTTCTCGGGTCGGAATCTATCACTGAATAGGGATTCTATGTATAATCTTACAGAAAACAGGTTCTCACCTTGACTTAGCATTGTGGGAGAGGAAGCAAAGGGAAGTGTTGTGGGTTTTTTTGCATTTACAGGATGTGATATTTTTGTTGCACTCAGAGACAGAGCTTTTTCCCCTGCAAAATTGTAGAAGTGTATTTGCATGAGCACTGCCTCTGTCTTATGAGAGATGTGAGCGAGCAGACCAGGGGTATATGAATCGATGAGCAAAGCAAGCTTTACTCGTGCTATTTGATGAATCTATATTGCACAGTTTCGTATGTATTTGCCCCATATCATGTCACACTGTTCACCACAGGCTGGTAAGAAACTGTAAGCAAGTTCACATTTACCCCACTTGAGGGCTATTCCATCTCTGTACATTTTAAAGGGGACTTTGATTCTGTAAGAAAGTGCTGTGGATTTGGAGGGACAGACAGATGTTGGTCATACTTAGAAGTGGAATCTTTGATACGGTGGAAAAATGTGAAGTTGTCCACTATAGATTAATAAACAAGAACAAATAAAGCTGTGCTTAGCCTAGCTTTCTGGGTGATCTGACCCTGAGGTGGACACCAGCTGCAAAGGAAGCTCTTGGGAGAACACCTGCTCTGCTGGTGGAGGGACAGACTTCCTGGGGAGGAGGCTGACCATGCTGGGAAGCACGTGAGCCCTGGTCCCAAGACCTGTGGTCATCCACTTAGGAAGGAGGGCCAAGCAGCTCTGCTCCAGACTTTGGCTCCAGACTCCGGAAAGATTGATTGAA